TAGGAGTAGGCGAGGAAGGTACGCACGCGCGGGAGTTAGGCGGCGGGCGTGAGGAGCAAGGTAGCGAGGCACGTGCTGGGCAGGCGAGCGGAAGTCTAGTCCGCACGGGATTAGGCGAAAGGAGCGATGAGACCGCCGCGCGCGACAAGGAGTAGCGCCGAAGACGCGCGCGAGAGACGGGCCGAAGGAATTGAGGGCGGCCGAAGAGTTTTTAGCATGTAGGGTTTTAATTTTAGGGAGCTTCTAGATTTGCTTGGTGTGCAAGCCAAGCATTAGTATTTATGGTAGTAGGAGATTTACTAGCCTTAGGATTTAATATTTAATTGTTTTATTAGTTTCCTAGTAAGATGAGCATTAGAGATAGTTGGCACCTATGAATACCCCATGTACCTCATCATATTTGACAAGTTGAATTAAGTATTGAATTGGTGAGCCAATCTTGAGGGGGAAGTTTATGTTCTTAACGTGTGATAAAGAAGGCCATTAGTGCGTCTTTACATACAGTGTCGGAGAGAAGGCCAATAGTGCGTCTTGAAGTGACGGTATCTAGAAGAAGGCCCTGAGTGAGTCTGCTAGATACACCTATCGGGGATAAACGAAGGCCGCAGTGCGTCGTTTATTCGCAACCCAGTATAGACAAAAGATCGATCCGTCATCACTCGCGCACAACGCGTAGCGCGCGCACCATTGAGTCACTAAGCACGCACTTAGGCGATGCTTAGCGAATTGATCAAGCCAAATCCCCTCTCTAAGAATTACCGTGTAGGGAATTATAAGGATAAATGTTGAGGTGCAAGTTGTAGGTGTGAGTCACCTACCTACTTGTGCACTTGGCGACGCACGGGGCCGTGAGTGGTGACTAGGCCCGTGCATGCCCGCCACATCGGCCGATGACTAAGCCAAACTTACCAACACATCAGCCACGTTATGGACACTTGTTATCAAGGGAGGAATTCATCATCCAACACCTCTTTGACCCAAAGGACCCAACGAATTACTCCCCTTTTTAAATGCCGTGCGTGTAGCTTTTCCCATGCATTTTCATGCACGAAATAGAGACCAATTTCAGCAAAGAATAAAGAGAAAAATAGTAAGGAAAATAATGTAGAAAAATAGTGCAAAAATAGTTGAGCATTGCCGAAGCAAAGGAGAAGCAAGTACCCACACGTTCACGCACCGAAACCGCACGCAAGCCGTCGTGCAATCCTCGACCGAACTGAAGGGTATACCCCTATTTACCTTCTTTTTATATGGTTAAGCTCATAGTAGTAAGATCACGTCAATGTCATGTTGTTCGGTCCAAGTTATTTTAGCAAAATGACCTCGGAGGTGCTATATAAGCCCTTCCGAGTAACTTCAGTTTTTGACCGACAAGTCCCGAACGTATATTGCATAATTATGTTATTTAAGTCAAAACATGATCACCGACGGACTTCGCCCAGCAGACAGCCACAACATCGTAGGCCACGGCGTCCAGAACTACGCCCACGCAGTTGCCATTGCACAGGAAGTCGATGCCAGTATCCGACGTGAAGCCCTCCAGACACCAGCTCAGCCAGTTGCTCAACCACCAGCCCAGCCCAAAGTTGCCCAACCATCAACCAACAAGAATAAAAGGAAGTTCAATGGAGGACCAGATGATCGCAGGAACCGTCAAAGACAGAAGACAATACCGGAATGCCCAACCTGCGGGAAACACCATCGTGGAGAATGCCTCGTGGGCCAGAATGTTTGTTTCTTTTGTCGTCAGCCAGGTCACTTCAGCAACAACTGTCCAGAACGACTACAACAACAACCACAACAACGTCAACCGCCACAACAACCTCAACAACAGCAGCCCAGGCAGCAACCACCCCGACCACAGTAACAACAACGCGGCAGACAGCAGGCTCGCGTTTTT